GTATCTGAGTATCAACACTGTCCCACTGACTCCTTAGAAGTGGGCCATTTCCAGCAGTTAACAAGAATGTCTGACGAACAGTGTGGGGGGGAATAAACATGGAGAAATAGTTTTACTTTGTGTAATGACCCCTCCACTCCCAGTCTCTATTCAAGCCTAAATTAATTGTATCCAGTTTGCAAATTAATTCCAATTCAGCAGTCTCTCCTTGGAGTCTGTTTTTGAAGTTTTTTGGTTGAAGTATTGCCACTTTTAGGTCTGTAATCGAGTGACCAGAGAGATGGAAGTCTTCTCCAACTGGTTTTTGAATGTTATAGTTCTTGACATCTGATTTGTGTCCATTTATTCTTTTACGTAGAGACTGTCCAGTTTCACCAATGTACATGGCAGAGGGGCATTGCTGGCACATGATGGCATATATCACATTGGTAGATGTGCAGGTGAACGAGCCTCTGATAGTGTGGCTGATGTGATTAGGCCCTAGGATGGTGTCCCCTGAATAGATATGTGGACACAGTTGGCAACGGGCTTTGTTGCAAGGATAGGTTCCTGGGTGAGTGGTTCTGTGGTGTGGTTGCTGGTGAGTATTTGCTTCAGGTTGGGGGTCTGTCTGTAAGCAAGGACTGGCCTGTCTCCCAAGATCTGAGAGAGTGATGGGTCATCCTTCAGGATAGGTTGTAGATCCTTGATTATGCGTTGGAGAGGTTTTAGTTGGGGGCTGAAGGTGATGGCTAGTGGTGTTCTGTTATTTTCTTTGTTGGGCCTGTCCTGTAGTAGGTGACTTCTGGGTACTCTTCTGGCTCTGTCAATCTATTTCTTCACTTCAGCAGGTGGGTATTGTAGTTGTAAGAATGCTTGATGGAGATCTTGTAGGTGTTTGTCTCTGTCTGAGGGGTTGGAGCAAAGGCGGTTGTATCGTAGAGCTTGGCTGTAGGCAATGGATCATGTGGTGTGGTCTGGATGAAAGCTGGAGGCATGTAGGTAGGAATAGCGGTCAGTAGGTTTGTGGTGGTGGTGTTTATGTGACCATCGCTTATTAGCACCGTAGTGTCCAGGAAGTGGATCTCTTGTGTGGACTGGTCTTTAGAGAGAAGCTTTTTCTGCTAGGATAGCTCAGCTTACAGGCATATCACTGCAGAAATGTTTTCAATTAAATGAAGCTGCTGTAATATCAGCCAGTGGGCAATCATGTAAAAATATACTATTCTCTCTATTAAAAGTGTTTGTTACAGGGCTATTACACCTGTATTCCCCTTACGTGGTCCACGGAGGGCACCCATTCTCAGCTCCCGCCTCCTCAGCCATCACCTCTCTAGGGTGGAGACCAGCCCCTCTCTCTCTCGACCAAGGGTTTTCCAGGCTGCATGATTCCCTGCTCACACTGATATTCCCAGCATGCCAAACTATCTAAAAGCCAGCATCTGTACTTTGCTTTCTCTCCAGAGGCTATGTCCAGTGTATTGCCCGCAATTACAAGTTACACACAGCACTTTCTAAGCACGCACATTTATTCTTTGATGTAACCACTACAGAGAAATCATATTAAAAAAAAAAGAACCCACATGCACGCTAAAAAGCTTACCAGAGATCACCCCAACTCCAACATCAGGCTCTGGTAGGTGTGAGTCATTCAAAAGCCATAACTGTGTTTTCCCTGTGATTTACAGCTCATAAATCTAAGATTCATAACCAGAGGAAACATGAATAGCTCAATCTTTCCTTTATACAGCTTGGGCCTTTGAGCCCGGCCTCATGTAACGGGTTATCAGCAGACAATGGCCCACACCTCAGGACATAGCTTCAAAAAGTTTGGCATTTGCTAATTTGCATTCACCTCCCCCGAGAGATTCTCCAGGAAAATCCCTTAACACTTTTTGTTCCAAAAGTCCATCCTTGTTTGGCACATTGTTGAACAGTCCTTTGAACCCTCAGGTCTCACATGTGTGACATCTTCCCCCTTAAGAGGCGGTATACAATCCTGGCCCATAAGACATAAACCATTAATTTAATACAATGGACTCCAAAGATACTTAGACTTAATTCAGTAAGGTCTCCCAAAGATATTGTAGGAAATTGCCATACCCATCACAGGGCTCATTTGAACTTCCTGGCAGAAGAAGTCCATGTGACTGAACAGTGTCAATTTACAACCTGTCACCAAGCACGAATAAAGTCTAGCCTTGGATCATTTACCCCCATGGTGACTTGCATACTTTGTGCTTTAAGGGGAAGTAGACAGTTTGGACGGCTGCTCCAGTGGCACCTTTCAGCACAAAGCAGTTCCAACAAACTGCGGCTGTGCATGGTATAATTAATCATATCTGGCATACTTAGCAGCTTATTGTAAGAATATTATGGCAGGAGTGTTTGACTTTTTCCTGCTCTGAGTTTAGATCTGTTGTGTTTCTCAATCCCACAAGGAATGAAGTAGACAAAGATCAACTGGTTATGTAATTCTTGCCAAAATATTTATGGCAAACTCTTCATATATTTTAGCTGATGCTGGACAATATTAGTGGTATTGAGGCTTTTACGACTATTATTTGAAAATAAATAAAGGGTACCTCCATAGATCAACCAGACACGAGGTCTTACTATAAATACAGCCTTCACCTTGCCATTTGTCATTTGATCCTGAGCAGTCAACAACATCAACAATTTTGTAGTTTACCTTGAGTTAAGAATAAAGAGAATTAAATCCCTGCCACCAAAAAGGAAATACAAATGCTAAGGTGGTCCGTTGGAATCTCCTCTCCAACAAGCTGTTTTTAGATCTTGCCCCACACACACGAAACAAAAATGACATTCCTGTACTTTAAAGAAGTTCTATGTTTAATCTACAAAATATATACAGTTAGGGCTCAATCTCATAAGGTACTGATCATTCTTACTCTGATCCAGTACCACTGAGCTGCTCACATGCATAAAATTAAGCACCTGCTTAAATGTTTTCCTGGATTAGGGCTAGAGTGCCTAGCAACTTGCAGGACTGAGCCCTAACTCTGAAATACAATCAGTTTCTCTTCCCCATCGTCACACAAGAAAAAGAACTGTCCCCTGCCCACCCAAATAGCTGCCCAAGTACATTATACCTATGTCCTATATATTTTTTAATGAAACAAACAATTTTACACACATTGCAGCTACTCCCCACAGAGCAGAAGAACTTTCACTTAATGTATAAAATAGTGCCAAGGAAGGCCCTCAAAGGAAGGCCCTGACCCAAGGTACTCTAGTGCTTCCTACACATTTGTCTCCCACCTCCAGATGTGTATGTTTTCAGTGCTTATTTTTGAGCGTTTTAAAAAAAAATTCTATTTTCGATTTAAATTGTCACAGTTGTGAAAAATTATGGGGGGGGAGGGAAAACAGACAATTTTGTAATAGACACTGAGATTAAAAAAAAAGCTTTATAATCATTAAACTACAAATTGTCTACTACATGTCAAAACATACAAAGTAAATATCCTTACATGAAACTCTAAGAAGTTCTCAAGCAGCATTTTTCATACTTTGCCTGTCTGAAAATTCTTGATTACTACTGATGAAAATATTTTTGTTGGTGTGTGTGTTCGGTGAAATCAACGTTCACTGATATTTACGGATAGAGCTCTAATCCTTTCAAACCTAACCATGAGTTATCAAAACTACCGTTCTTAGACGATACCAGAGATCTGTTCCAGGATAGCTATTATTTTAATCTCCCTAATGCTGTTATCTCTCCCCCTCCCCGACCCCTCAATAACTGCTGATACTGAACTCTTGAAAAATCTGGCCATAATCCTACGAAATCTCAATCTGCTGCTGTAAGCAACAGATGAGATTCCTGTTTCTAGCATATAGCTATATTATCAGGAGATAATGTGGGAAAATGATTATAATTAACAGCTTGAATGAATGCAAATGCTCTTCTCTAAAAAAAAAAAAAAAATCTCCTTGGAAAAGTCTTAGGCAAGCTACAGCTGTATCAGAATTCTAGAACATGACACACTGTGCCATGGTACAGTCATTAAAATATTTTATGATTCTATTAAACCTCTTTGAAAGTGAGTCAGATACTGAGATCTGCAAATTAGCTCTAAAATGGGCACCTACATTGTAATTCAGTTGTCTTAAAATAAAAAAGATTTGTATTAACTAGATGTTCAATTACATTGCTCTCACCTCCTAGTACTTCAGGAGTGACATTATAGATTGTTATTATAGGCATACTTCTTCATTTCTAGCTACCTGGATGCAGACTCAGCTATAGCTAACTGAACTACCCTAAAACCAAAAATAAGATTGTTCAAATTTTAACTGATTCATAAAAAAATGCCTTTTATGCAGAAAATGTCTTCGAGAGAAGGTAAGTGGCAAAACGATAATGATCACAATAACAATTTTCTAATTAGTTGCTACAGTCATCCTGAAGGGACAAAGACACACATCTTTGAAAGATGTTTAGAATTGTGGGGCTACGCTTTCATCTTTTCCTGTTCGACTTCCAAAACATGACCTTTAAAACCACAACTCACAGTGAGCTTATAAATGACTTGTGTGGGTAGTGGTCATTATCTACAGCAAAAGGGTGAATTAATAAAAGGAATTTTTTGGATGGGAAAACAAGAAAAGAGTTAATTACTGAAGGCTGAGAACAAAGTTTTCAAAAATCTATAGCTAGACATCTAACTAAAATTGGCCTGATTTGCACAAGTACTGAGAACTCAACAGCCCCTACCAAATGTTAGACATTTTTGAAAATCCAGGGCAAGACTTTTAAAGAAATGGGTGACTAAAGTTAGGTTCCTAAATCTTCATTTAGGCACTTAAGTAAGTGACCTAAATTTCAAGTGCTGAGAACTCAGCATTTCCCACTTATTCAATATAAGCACACTTCTGGGGTCACACAGAAAGTGTGAGGCACAGTAAGGAAAAAGCAGTAGTTCTCCTGACTGCTAGCCATGTGCTTTAACCACAAGACCATCTACCTCCTACTACTTTATTTAGAATATATTTACCTTTGCTCCATGTTTATGCAGAACTTCCATGACATCATTATGAGCTCTTTCAGCTGCAACATGCAAAGGCGTCATGAAGCTAGGTGAAAAATGGCAGACGTTAGTTTTATCATCCAAATACTGTATTACCTAGTCCTTTGGAAACGTAAAATTTGGCTTAAATTTTTGGACACCTACTCTTTGTTTTTCTCATTAACGTTAGCTCCTTTCCTGAGCAACAGTTCTGTAACTTGTTTCCGTTTAGGATGCAGGGAAGTGACAGCACAGTGCTGAAAAACAAAGCAAAAAAATTATCTACTACTTAGACTATGCAATATTTCATGACGCATCATTTTTTGTTTTCATGACTTCATCATTTTTACACACCCCACTGAACATTAGACTGAAGCTTATAAATAGAACCCTACCGAAATGTATTACATTTCTGCCTCAATATAAAATACACCAAACAAAATGTAAGCTAGTTATTAAAGCTAAATCATGCTGCTTTTAAAACAATTTTGATTTTATAACTATTAGTCACACATGAGAAATGGTTAAGTCACTATCTGTAAAAGCAAGACATAGGGACATTAAATGGTGTACTACAAGAAGTGGCTAAAGGCAAAAATCCCACTTTCTGCAGATGGCTTCTGAAGAGTTACATTGCTTCCTTCAATGTAACATGAGTTCTGTGGTAGACTGAGTTAATTGTTTTATTTATTCTTCTATTTTGATGTATACTTAATGTGTTAATCTTAACTGATTGCCATGCTGGTACAGTATGTGTTTGCAGTTACTGCTCAATATCTGGATTTATGAAATAAAGGAAGCTCTAAGGAAAGTAACGCATTCTGCATGGCATAATTTGGTTAAATGTTCCAAGTGAGAGGTATCTTTAGTGGTGTGTCTTGGAAGCAAGGGCCTCCATAACCTCTCTTGCCCAGGGGAAGACAGGAGCAAGTTGCTATAGTCCTTTACTAGGTGCAATATACCTCTTTGTGTGGGTCAACTCCGCTGGCTGCTTTGTGGGGAGGGTTGCAGCGTACTGAGCATGCAGCCTTTGCCATGCGTTCAGGTAGGGCAAGGTGATGGGCCATGCTCCCTCTTACTCCTTTGCACCACTGCATTAGGGCCAGTCACCCCCTGGACTGAAATTTTCAAACATGTCCACTAATTTTAGGCCCCAAATTGAGATGTCAAAGGACTGATTTTCAGAGAAACTAAGCTCCCACAATTCCAAGTAACTGAAAATCATGTACTAAATTCCAGAGTAACGGTTGGAAGAGACCACCACTAGGATGAGAGACCATCTTGGACAAAACTAGTTATTGGTCCCTGTAAGACAGGGCCTATTGATCTCCTGATGTTTCTGAGCCCAGCCACAGGGGTTTTAAACAGCAAGCACAAAAGTCATACTTAATAGTTATGACTCATTGCTGTGAAGAATTCCCTCTTCTAATACTCAAAGTAAAACAACATAGTCACACTGATTTGAACGAGATCATCAATTCCACTCCACTTCACTTTCTATGTCTATGTCAAAGACTGCTGGGATATTGGCTCTGTGTTCTTTGACTTCACTGCTAGCTGAAATGATGAATTGGGAGCAGAGGCTAATTCCAGTGAAGTCACTAACACACAAAAATACACGCAAGTGACACTGTACCTTCACACAGAAGGCCCCCTGCTAGATAATGCCATGACCACAGCGAGCACAAAGTTCAGCATACTGCTGGGGTGCTTTGCATCTTTAACAGTGTTCCATGTCAAAGACCTGAACAAGACTTGAGAACTCATAGGGGGGCCAACTACCACAGGCAAATCCAGAAAACAACTGTCAATGCTGATAAATGCAAAGTAATGCACATTGGAAAACATAATCCGAACTACACATATAAAAGGATGGGGTCTAAATTAGTTGTTACCACTCAAGAAAGAGATCTGGGAGTCACTGTGGATAGTTCTTTGAAATCATCCACTCAATGTGCAGTGGCAGTCAAAAAAGCAAACAGAATGTTGGGAATCATTAAGAAAGGGATACATAATAAGACAGAAAATACTATATTGCCTCTATATAAATCCATGGTATGTCCACATCTTGAATACTGCGTACAGATGTGGTCGCCCCATCTCAAAAAAAGATACATTGGAATTGGAAAAGGTTCAGAAAAGGACAAAAAAATGATTAGGAGTATGGAATGGCTGCCATATTAGGAGAGATTAATAAGACTGGAACTTTTCAACATGGAAAAGAGATGTCTAAGGGGGGATATGACAGAGGTCTATAAAAGCATGACTGGTGTGGAGAAAGTAAATAAGGAAGTGTTATTTACTCCTTCTAATAACACAAGAACTAGGGGTCACCAAATGAAATTAATAGGCAGTAGGTTTGTTTTGAACAAAAGGAAGTATTTTTTCATGCAACGCACAGTCAACCTGTGGCACTCCTTGCCAGAGGATGTTGTGAAGGCCAAGACCATAACAGGGTTCAAAAAAGAACTAGATAAGTTCATGGAGGATAGGTCCATCAATGGCTATTTGCCAGGATGGGCAGGGATGGTTTCCCTAGCCTCTGTTTGCCAGAAGCTGGGAATGGGTGACAGGGGATGGATAGCTTGATGATTATCTGTACTGTTCATTCCCACTGGGGCACCTGGCATTGGCCACTTTTGGAAGACAGGATACCAAGCTAGATGGACCTTTGGTCTGACCCAGCCCTCATCTACACTATGAGTTTATGTCAAATTTAGCAGTTTTAGATCGATTTAACCCTGCACCCATCCACACAACAAAGCCATTTTTGTTGACTTAATGGGCTCTTAAAATAGATTTCTGTACTCCTCCCTGATGAGGGGTTTAGCTCTGAAATTGACATCGCCAGTTCGAATTTGGGTTAGTGTGGACGCAATTCGACGGTATTGGCCTCCAGAAGCTATCCCACAGTGCTCCATTGTGACCACTCTGGACAGCACTCTCAACTTGGATGCACTGGCCAGGTACACAGGAAAAGTCCTGCAAACTTTTGAATTTCATTTCCTGTTTGGCCAGTGTGGCAAGCTGATCGGCACAGGTGACCATGCAGATCTCATCAGCAGAGATGACCATGGAGTCCCAGAATCGCAAAAGAGCTCCAGCATGGACCAAACGGGAGGTAGTGGATCTGATCGCTGTATGGGGAGACGAATCCGTGTTATCAGAACTCTGTTGCAAAAGACGAAATGCCAAAATATTTGAAAAAATCTCCAAGGGCATGAAGGACAGAGGCTATCACAGGTACAGGAAAGGCAAAGACCGCCACTGCAGCCCCTGTAGTAATCAACCGCCGTCCTCCCCAAGTTCTATAGCGTACTCACCCAGACGCCCAAGAACGCGGGAGAGGAGAGGGGCCCCCTCTGGGCACCCAACCACTCCACCCAAGAGGATTGCCCAAGCAACAGAAGGCTGGCATTCAGTAAGTTTTGAAGTGCAGTGTGGCCTTCTTCCCTCCTCCCCCACCCCACCCGGTGCGTCCCTGCTCCCCCACCCCTCCCGGGCTACCTTGGCAGTTCTCTCCCCTATTTGTGTGACAAATTAACAGAGAATGCATGAATTTGAAACAACAATGACTTTATTGCCTCTGCAAGTGGTGATCGAAGGGGGGAGGGGAGGGCGGTTGGCTTACAGGGAAGTAGAGTGAACCAAGGGGACGGGTTTTCAACAAGGAGAAACAAACAGAACTGTCACACCGTAGCCTGGTCAGCCATGAAACTGGTTTTCAAAGCTTTTCTGATGCACAGCGCACCCTGCTGTGCTCTTCTAACCAGCCTGGTGTCTGGCTGCGCGTAATCAGTGGCCAGGCGATTCGCCTATAGGCATTTCAACATCACCAACAGTTATTTTCTGGTCTGGAAAGTAAGTCCCTTGCTGCAGCTGTTCATACAGACCAGACTTCCTGAAGATACAAGCGTCATATACCTTTCCCGGCCATCCCACGTTGATGCTGGTGAAATGTCCCTTGTGATCCACCAGTGCTTGCAGCACCATTGAAAAGTGCCCCTTTCGGTTTATGTACTTGCTGCCTTGGTGCTCCGGTCCCAAGATAGGGATATGGGTTCCGTCTATAGCCCCACCACAGTTAGGGAATCGCACTGCAGCAAAGCCATCCACTATGACCTGCACATTTCCCAGAGTCACTATCCTTGATAGCAGCAGCTCAGTGATTGTGTTGGCTACTTGCATCACAGCAGCCCCCACAGTAGATCTGCCCACTCCAAACTGACTCCCGACTTACTGGTTGCTGTCTGGCGTTGCAAGCTTCCACAGGCTATTGCCACTCGCTTGTGAACTGTGAGGGCTGCTCTCATCTTGGTATTCTTGCACTTCAGGATAGGGGAAAGCAAGTCACAAAGTTCCATGAAAGTGCCCTTACACATGTGGAAGTTTCGCAGCCACTGGGAATCATCCCAGACCTGCAACACTATGTGGTCCCACCAATCTGTGCTTGTTTCCCGGGCCCAGAATCGACGTTCCATGGCATGAACCTGCCCCATTGCCACCATAATGGCCAAATTGCCGGGGCCCATGCTTTGAGAGAAGTCTGTGTCCATGTCCTCATCAGTCTCGTCACTGCGCTGCCATAACCTCCTCTTGCAGGTTCTGATTCTGCATATACTGCATGATAATGCACGAGGTATTTACAATGCTCATAACTGCTGCGGTGATCTGAGCGGGCTCCATGCTTGCCGTGGCATGGCATCTGCAGGAGAGCAGAGTTGCAGGGGAAGCGGTGGTTGGATGACCAATTTTGCAGACCTACTGCACTGTCTGCTACCAGGACACAACAGCTGAGCGGGCTACACGCTTGCTGTGGTATGGCGAGAGAAGAGCAGCCAAGCAGTTGCAGCAGAAGTGGCCCTGCGAGACCACCAGGAGAGCAGAGTGGCAGCAGAAGCGGTGGATGACGACGGTCACAGAGAAGACCTGCGAGGTGGATTTCATAGCATCAGGAGAGCAGAGTGGCAGTGGAAGTGGTCGTTTGATGACAACGGTTTGCAGACCTATGGCACCATCTGCTAAAAGCAGTATGGGGCCCGCACGGAAAAAAGGAGAAAAATGACTGTCTGCCGTTGCTTTCATGGAGGGAAGGGTGACTGACGACATGAACCCAAAACCACCAGTGACAATGTTTTTGCCCCATCAGGTATTGGGAGCTTAACCCAGAATTCCAATGGGCGGCGGAGACTGCAGGAACTGTGGGATAGCTACCCACAGTGTAACGCTCCGAAAGTCAACACTAGCCTCGGTACTGTGGACGCACTCCACCGACTTAATGCGCTTAGTGGGGACACACACGATTGACTGTATAAAATCGCTTTCTAAAAAATCGACTTCTATAAATTTGACCTAATTTCGTAGTGTAGACATACCCCCAGTATGGCCACTCTTATGTTCTTTTGTAATGCTAGACAGGTCTGAATGTCATCACAACAAATATACGTTGCCAGCAGAGAGTTATACCAATCAGCTGGAGAAGGGAAACAACTGGTTGGTCAGTGAGAGCCAGAAAGCCCCTATATAGCAGGAACAGCATCAAACGTTTCACTGCTGACCTCTGTCAGATGTTGAAAGAATTAAGTATTATTAATAAACTCATCTGTGTGGGAATGTTGGAGAATGATTTTCATCAAGAAGCAAGTCTAATTGGGATTCTGGTGAAAAATTTGATTTAAAAAAGATGAAAGATAGAGGGCAGCCTGCTAACTTATTCCAATCTCCCATAAGCCAGCATGATACATTTCTGTTGCCTGCCTCATCTCAACCTGCTGGCACCCCAAAATATTTTTTGCAACAAGTGTCCATAAAACATAAGACAAAATGGAGAGAAAAAACAAGACAACTGCAGTGATAGCAGAACACAGAGAAACCCTCTAGCAGTTGTCACTACAGGGAAGGTAATCAGGTGGGGAGAACACAAAGGTTCAACATGAAGAAATAAGCAGTAGCTTACTTGAAGGTTTCTGGAGAAATCCTGCATAAAAACTGAATTCAAGGGTGAAAAAAATGTAAAACGTTTCTTCTATAGCAGTGATTTACTTTTAACACATAAGATGCCTGGTGGCACATCCTCAGTTTTAGATGAATACATTTTCATAGTCTAGCAATTAAAAAAAGCTCTTCAACTAGCACTACTTCCACATATATCACAAAAAAATGAACTGACTATATCATCTCACCAGTGCGGTCTCATGTGACTGTGGCTGTTTGAAATTAATGATCTCCAAAGCAAGAGTCTTTTTCACTTTGGCTAGGTCTGCCTCTCTGGCTGCTTGCAGTAAAGAATGTCCTTTGAATTCATCTGTTGGAGAAATAAGACACACTTAATATTCAGTAACACATCTTATTTCAGAAACCTAACTAGAATTAACCAAAGGGGAAAGAAACATGTTCTATATTGCCCTAAATAGTAACATCAGCTATGATGACATAATCCTAAAACCTCTCCTAGTGAAGGCAGAAATATATTCTTGGGGTGAGATAGGAAGGAAGGTTCCAGTTTCCAGGGCAAAACCCTCATCCTCCCACTCCAGCCCCAAAATGAAGAGTGTTATAAGAATCACTAAAAACTCTGTATCCAGCCAGAGGAGGAGTCTTCTAGGACCAGCACTACAGAAGACAGCTACCAGGCCACCTTCCGAGAGCCCTACCGCAATCTCCAGCATAGGGGGCATGCCAGGGTGGGGTTGCATCACACAGCACTACAGAGATTTCAGGCCCAAATTACACCAGTGGACCTTCCAGCCTCCAGATCAATCCAGGACCAAGAGGACACAAAGTTGGCTTAAAGCCACCTTACTTAACCCTCTCCCCCATCTGAGAGTTCGGTATTGCACCTGTTGGAGGTGCAGCATAGAATCTTACCATTATATTGCTCCTTTAACATAAAAATGGCCAAGCATCAGATCCTGCTCACTTTGTTCCTACAAGTAATCCCACTGATGACACTGGGATCACCGGTGAGAGAAGGAGAGCAGGATATATTAATATCCAAATATGTAAAAGTACCCTTTAATAAATGATGAACAAAACCGAAAGTCAGCAGACTTATTCTAACTTATTTCAGAAGTTACTTCTTGTGGAATTAGCAGTTTTCTGTAACTTTATAACTTGTGTTATTGTCTTTCATTGTTATAAGAGTGAGACAAAAACAGATGAGAGAGAAATTTAGACTCAAGGTTAGGACGTAACTTTCCCACCACCGGTTTAGGAGGAATCCTTTTTGTTTGGTTTTCTGACCAGATATCAGAAAAACAAGACTGAGTAATGAAGGCTCTGGTGGAAAGCAGCTCTTTATTTAAGTTACAAATGATGAATCAGAGTTTGGTAACATGATTATGACCAAACTGAATTCTAGAATAGTTATATTTTATATGGTCATACCTAAGTTTAGAACATTGACCATCATGAAGTAATCAAGAGGGTTTGAGAATGAATTCCAAAGAATTAAATACTGTTGCGAGAATTAGCTATAGTATCAGTGGCAACTTCACCCTGTAAGGCCACATGCCAGCATTTTCTATGTCAAACTGATGACATGCTTCAACAGATTAGTCTAATTTTCCAGCCCAGGAAGAACACATATATGAAACTGGATGACAAAACAAATCAAAAGCCTTTTTACTGCTTCACAGCCATCTGTGCCAAAAAGTATTGAACTGGTTCCATCAAAACCATCTTCTCCTGTCCGAGAATAAGCCTGGCATAACGCAGTGAGATTCAGACAGCCCAACAATGCTACCAGGCCTTACAGAATATTGGAAAACAAAGCATCATTGACGCTTCTCCTCTCTTTCCTTGTCATTAATTTGCAAAAGCAAAAAATCAATCACATTATAGTTGGTTAGCACAGGCTAATTTGCAGGGACAGATAAATCTCCAAATGAAGTTGTCTGAAAGTCATGTTTTTGCTTTACAAAGTTAATTAAAATCATCTCCCTGAACTCTGTTCTGCTCTTATTATTATTTAATAATGAAACAATAACTTTTGAGTTTGATTAAAGTAGAGAGGGTAGGGTTCCCAAATTAGAACATATGACTTTACTAAAGGGAAAGAAGGGAAAGTAACTGGAGCTTTTTCAAAATGTGTGGTCTCCATCTGTATTCCACTGAGGGTTACGTGCGTGCGTCATATGCCCGGAGCCAGAACCTTTGAAAGTAGTATCGTTCGGCAGTCCGCACATGCGCCCATGTATTGTCTTGTGGTTTCGCCTGAGGTGATAAAGGGCAGGGTGGACTGCCAGTGTCTCCAGGTCCTTCTCCACCACAGACCTATCAGATTCGCAGCAGAGGGGAAAGAGGTTGGGATTGGAATAAAGATAGGGACCACATACCTCAAAGAACCCCCAGTTACCAGCAAGCAACCTCTCTTTCTTCTTTGAGTGATGGTCCCTATTGCATTCCATTGAGGGTGTCTGACAAGCAGTTCATAGTGAGGAGGAGAATGCGAGGAAGATGACGGAATCATAGAATGGAGGACTGCTGCACTGAATGAGGCGTCTCCTGTGGAATCACATACTAGAGTGTAGTGGAGGAAAAAGTGTGTACCAACTACATGTAGCAGTTTTACATATATCTGCAAGGGACACATCATGACGCACAGCTGTGGTTGATGCTTGCACTCTCATTGAGTGGGCCTATCCCACCTGGTGAGGATTGTCTTGTCATCTTATGTAATGCACCTAGAAACCCACTTAAAGATTCACTGGATGGAAATGGCCTGTCCTTTAATTCTCTCCTCTATGGCGACAAATAGCCTGGGAGACTTCCGGAATGGCTCTGTCCTTTGCAGACCTACGCACATCAAAAGAATGAAGTCGCCGTTCTCCATGAAAGATGTGTGGTTTGGGGAAGAAGGTACGTAGATGTAGGAGTTGATTGAGATGGAATCAGAAAACCACTTTTAGTAGCAACTTGGATGCAATCAGAGTGATACATTGTCTTTATGGAATGCAGTGAAGGGGGGAGGGGTCTGCCACCATGGCTCCCAGTTCACCAACCTACCTCGCTGAAGTAATGGCAACAAGGAAAGTGACCTTCATGGAGAGGAGAGAAAGAGCAGGAGGCCAGGGGTTCATTAATGAGGAACACTAGGTTGAGGTCCCATTGGGTAGCGACAGGTTGAATGGGGGGTACTTACAAAAAAAGGCCCTTCCAGAATCAGGCAGTCAAAAGGTGCATAAAAATTGAATGTCCAGCCACTAGAGGGTGGAAAGCGCTAATGGCATCTGCATGAACTCTGATGGAGCTGAGAGCGAGACTCAAGATTTTCAGATAGAGAAAATAGTCTACGAGTATCTGCATGCCCACGGCCTCGGGGACAAGGCCTTGCCGTTGAGCCCAGGAAGTGAAACGTTTCCATTTGGCCTTATAGGAGCATCTCATGGATTCCTTTTGGCTACTGGAGAGGATGTCTTGCACTGCTAATGGGCATTCTCGTGCTAACCAAGGCGTTCAGCCAAAAACCTAGCTTTCAGTGTTGCGTCCGTAGATCTGGGTGCCTGAGTCTGCGGTTGTGCTGTGTCAGCAGTTCCGGGAATGTCTGGAGTGGAAGTGTAGAGTGCTTTGACATGTGGAGAAGAGGGAACCAGAATTGGCAAGACAAGAACAGGGCAATCAAAATGGCCATTGCTCTCTCGACAGAGTTTGTGGAGGGAACACAATAGGAGTGGTATGGAGGAGAAAGCATAGTTCTTTCAGTCCAACTAATTGACAACCAGAGCGTCGCTCTGTGAGTGGGGACCATGTCCCCTCTTCAGCAATACTGGGTGCACCTGGTATTCTGTGAAGCAAAAAGGTCTCTGACAGGCATCCCACAGCAGTCAAAGATGTGCACGATTACTGTGTGAGGCAATTCCTATTCATGGTTGGTAGTAAAATTCCTGCTGAAGGCATCTGCAATCATGTTCTTGGTACCAGGCAGGGAGGTTGCCGATAAAAGGGTATGATATGCTATGCACCATTTCCACAGGCATATTCATGCACAGCGCTGGGAATCTTATGCCTCCTTGTTTGTTTACGTAGTATATTGTGGTGGTGGTGTCTGATGTGACAAGGATGTGGCGACAGTGGATAGCTGGTAAGAACAAGTGACATGCTTTGTGCACTGCCCGAAGTTCTGGTATGTTTATGTGCATCCTGACTTCTCGCATGATCCAGATGCCTTGTGTCATGTGATCTTCCATGTGAGTGCCCCAACCTGCTGTTAGAGGGCTTATTCCCTCACCCTCCTCCTTCTTGCACGAACAGAGAGCAACAATATCCCAAGTCCGAAGGTGCAAACAATTGGATGTTTATTGGGATGAACTTTCAGCAAGCTTAAATTCAAGTCCTTTTTTCCTTATTTTCGAATCCCAATTTACTTCCTGTTTGCCCTGTTTATATAGTAATATTCTTAGCTATACTTTAACCAATCATTCTAATGAAATTTACCTAACCAATCCTAACATGATTAGCTAACCAATTATATCCCACCACCTTAATTAGTTTTACACCAAGCAAAATTAATTATACAGCAGACCGAAACAATTAGAGAACCAGACAGATTAACAATAGAAAAGTGGGAGCCATAAAGATAAACATATAGAATTGAGGGTTCATAGAACCATAGAATATCAGGGTTGGAAGGGACCTCAGGAGGTCATCTAGTCCAACCCCCTGCTCAAAGCAGGACCAATCCCCAACTAAATCATCCCAGACAGGGCTTTGTCAAGCCTGACCTTAAAAACCTCCCTAGGTAACCCATTCTAGTGCTTCAACACCCTCCTAATGAAAAAGTTTTTCCTAATATCCAACCTAAACCTCCCCCACTGCAACTTGAGACCATTACTCCTTGTTCTGTCAACCACTACTCCTTGTTCTGTGGTTTCATAACCACAACTATTGAGAAGTGATTTCTTGCCAGATAGGATGCTATCAAACTAAGTTTTTTTTTTAAAAACCATTTTTATCTGGAGGTGATAGGCATTATCAGGACAGGATTGTATTCCTAACAGCCCAATAGCACCTTATTTCAGTGTGACTAGTTTGAAATGTAAGGATGTGACCATAAGCTTCCCAGCTTATGGCTGTCTCTGCTGCTTAGCCAAAGGCCTTAGCTTAAGAACAGGGCCTTAGATTGTCACAGTGAGAGAAGGCCTTTACACAAGAAAACAGTAATTTTAAGTCTTTCTTTTATGCCTCTTTAACTAGCTAAATGATAAACATATACCTAAATTCTTAAAGTATAGGACTTTACAGACAGGCCTGAATATTTATATCCTAACACCTGCGAGTGACATGTCCATTATGACTGTCACGCTC